AGAGCGTTTGTCTGTTTTTATCCAGGCACGTTCACCTTTTCTGTGAGTACCAATTGCCAGGTTTGGAGGTTCCAAGTATTGCTCATATATAAAATATCGGCATTGAAGATGCTAGAAGCTATTTGAAATAAAAGCAAGAAATAAATAATAAATGGTCTTATTTATCCGTTTGGATCAAATATATAAACTGAATAACTAAATCATTTAAAACACTGAATTGTTCTCTCCTTTTTTTATCCTTACAAAATGTTGCTTTGTTTGTTTTTTCTCTGTGTGTTTGTCTGTAGAGTTTGTGTATATGAGCAATTATAGTGTTCTTTCTGTGTGCGGATATCAGAATATTTGTCCAGTTTGTTTGCCCAGTAATAGGCGCTCTCGTGCATGAATCTAAGTATTGGTCTGTGTTGTGTGTACATGCGTTTTTTTCAGACTAAGTGGAGCCACATGCGCGGAACAAAGCCGTTCTAAACCTGGTGCACACTCTTCTTTTCAGTTGACATGAAAATACTTTCACTGGAACTGCTTTGTCTTAGACGACAAAAAAGGATAAATTCTTATTTACTGTCCCAGTAAATAAGAATGTTCAACTGTATTTTCCACTGATTGACTTAACAATAAAAACATAACAGGGAACAGTTTTCATTTAATGTAGTGTCGCCATAAAAGTAAAGAAATAACTTGTAACTTATGACACATGTTGATCCATACCAGGAGAAACAGCAAACGCAGCAGTTATTTTACATGCTGGGATTTGTATTTGACTATCTTAGTACATCGTGCAGGGAAGAGGCTATGCATGTGCAGAATTATTCAAAGTGATCGGTAGGCATTCTTTGTTTTGTGAAGTTTAATCAATACATGAGCCATGGAGATGCAGAAGTTGTAGTGCGTCCAATCAATAGGCAAGTGATGGACACAGATTATTTATCAGCAGATTTAGATGATCAAGACATATTGATAGACAGATGACTGACAAATTCGGCAGAGAAATAAGTGACTGAAAGAAGTAAATACCCACAGGCAGCTTTTTTGCAGACATGAGTTTATGTGATTGATTAGTTGTTTGTTTATTAAAACAGCTTCAATAATGCAGAAAATACACAATAAGATCTTCCAAAGGCTTGTTAGCTCTCGATTGTCTTGATCTCTGCGTGTTCAGTCTCTTTGGTGGCCCATATGCCAATAATGGAATAGGAGCCTGTTAGCAAGGAGAGAGTGAATGTAACACGCTGTGTGCAACACACAAATACGCCTCTATCAGAAACAAGCCTCTTAGCTTTCCTCAATCAATACACCGTCTGTGTGTGCAAACAGTACCGTGCGTGCAGACAAAGCAACATTTCATCTGATGGTAAAATGCAGCCTCTCAGTCTGAGAGCTGCTTCCCAGGCTGTGCCAACAAGCCACAACACACACACATGCATGGCAGGAGCTCAAACCCTGGCATGTAAGCAGTGTGTGTGTGTGTGTGTATTTATGGATAAAGCCTACCTTGTTAAATGGGTAAAGTAAGTAATATAATGAATAGAACATGGTTTTTAAACACACAAATACAGTAAAAAAAAAAAGTTTCTAGAGTGATATGTATGAGTGGAGGTAGAGTTCTGCTTGGCTAAAGACATATACAGAAAATTCATACAAGAATTTGTTGCATCCACTAGGGAGAAGTAATGCTCAGTTAAAGAGCATGTAAAAGTTACAATCCACTTCATTAACAACAATCTCATCTTCTTGCTACAATACAAGCGAGCAGAGACGTGTTTTACTCACTGTTCATGTCAGTTAAAATGTGTTATAGACAGATAAAATGAACTGCAGTGAAGCAATCCTCCAATCAATGCCAGGTTTTAGCTCTGCTTTTCTTGTTTGGAAGGATGTGGAAATGTTGGTCCTTTGCCAACAGTCAGTGAAAAGGAACATTTAATCTCTCTTGGCTTCTTTCGACCTTTCTGTTTTTCCCTGTCACACACACTCAAACGGAGACACAACAGACAGGCGATCAAAGGAGCAATAAAATTGACACGGTGTATGGTCCTTGAGATGAGGGCCCTGTTGTTCCAAATTAGCAGATTTGGGGAGCAGCCAAGCTACCCATCTGAAAAAAAGAGGAAAAGGCAAGTAGTGGTTTTGAACAGGGAAGAGAAAGACAGATTTTGGTAATGCTGGGTATGAAATTGCTTGTAGACACGTGCACACAGACACACATCCATTTAACGCAGCCAGCATTCTAGTATAAAGTATACAGCCCGCACACCGACACGCACACCGTCGGTGCCTGTGCTCCCACTTTGACCCTATTTCTGTATTTCTCTTCATTTCACCGTACAAGGGCAAACACAGCCTCAGCACTATACTGCAAGGACTGAGTGAGTGACAGAAAGAGAGAAAATTGAGAAACAGTGTCCGATGTTCAAGCTGACAGTGACCTCTGACTCTTCGTGCACTGACAGTCTGTAGTAGTTACTCTGTGTGTGTGTGTGTATGTGTGTGTGTGTGTGTGTATGTGTGTGTGTGTGTGTGTGTGTGTCTGTGTGTGCATGCGCGTGCACGCTTTGGAGGTAATGGGTTCAGAAAAATGGGCTGTCAAACACAAGAAGGCACATCCCTTTCATACACATGCACACATACTGTATATCAGTGGTGGAAGGTAACTAAGTACATTTACTCAAGTACTGTGATTAAGTACAATTTTGAGCTATACTTTACTGGAGTCTTTTCATTTTCTGCTACTTCATACGTCATACTATATGTCTTCACTACATTTTAGGGGAAAATAATGTGCTTTTAACTCCACTACACCTATTTTATAACTTTAGTTACTTTCCAAAACAAGATTAATACAAAAATTACAGTAAGACTGTTAATTTCCAGTGGAAAATTCACAATCTACCCTACATTAGTTCAAATTATCAGCATTTATGCTTGTAAAAACTAGCTCCATTTTTACCAGCTGCAACACTGAATATATTGAACACAATAATGCATCAGTAAATATAATGAAATCACATGATATACATTAATGTTAAATGAGCCATTCAGCATAATGAATATTTTTACTTTTAGTACTTTAAGTATGTTTTGATGCCAATACTTGTGCACTTTTA